AGAGATTCCTACAGGGAGCCCATCCCTCCTCCCTCTCTCCTTTTCCCTCTCCCTCTCTCCCTCCTCTCCCCTCTCCCACCCTCTCCCTCTCTCACTCTCTCACTCTCTCCTTCTTTCTTGATTTCACTGCTCACTTTCCACCGTAACCCAGCCGTTCATATTCTCTCCCTCCCCCCACCCTCCCTACCTCGCCTCTCTCCACCTTGTTTTTCTTTTTGTCTTCTCTGGTCTGACTTCTCCTCAGTCTACGCTCATTGGGTCCCGCGCGAGAGGATCGTGAAATGTGATCCTCTTGCCTTGCTCTCTTCGCTGCCTCACTCGAATACCTGCAGCCAACGTCTGGTCAGCTGAGCTCTCGAAGCTGGTAGCCAACGCCTTCCTGGCTCAGGTCACCCTCGCACCACCCGCCTCCTCATTTCCTTTGAACAAGTGCTGTGTGACTTTGATAGCAGAGAATCTCATCCGTGAATGCTCTTTCGGAGCTCTGCGAGGCTACAGGAGCGGACATCGACCATGTCGCCTCTGCCATCGGCTCTGATCCGGGCATCGGCCCTAAGTTTCTCAAGTGCGGGCCCGGCTTCGGAGGCTCTTGCTTTCAGAAGGACATTCTAAACCTGGTCTACCTCTGCCAGTCCGCTGGCCTCACTGACGTCGCCGAGTACTGGCTGCAGGTAGATGGGAACTGAACGTGATGGGCAGCAGCTGACTTGGTCTTGTCGCTCCTCCCTCTCTCCTCTCCTCTTCTGCAGGTCATCCGCATGAACGACCATCAGAAGAGACGCTTTGGAAAGCTCATCGTCGACACCATGTGAGCGGTGCTCGCTCCTCCTGCGGCTTCTCACGTCCTCAGGTTCAACACCATCAACGACAAGAAGATTGCTGTCCTCGGCTTCGCCTTCAAGGCAAACCCCTCGAGCTCTTGCCGCTTCTGATGCTCGTGCAGGCTGACACTGGAGACACGCGCGAGTCGCCGGCGATCGACATCTGCGGGACGATGCTGAACGAGAACGCCAAGGTCCTCCTCTTCTCCTTGCTGTATACGTAGACATGGCCTCATGCTCGAACACCCTCTTCCGTAGTTTTTCCCTCCCCCCGCTCCTGCTGATCTCTTTCTGCTTTCTTTTCTTCCTTGCTCGCATTCCCTCCAAGTTCTTCACTTCCTTACGCTGGTCAGGTCACTGTCTTCGACCCTGAGGTCACAGAAGATCAGGTGCTGTGAAGCTTCAGCTACACAAGTTTTGACACTGCCTGTGCCCTTCCCGCCTTCTCCCTCCTCTCTCCTCTCTCCCTCCTCTCTCTCTCCTCTCTCCCTCCTCTCTCTCTCCTCTCCCTCCTCTCTCTCTCCTCTCCCTCCTCTCTCTCCGTCAGATCCGCAGGGACTTAGCTTCTTTCGACAAATCGAACAGACTCACAGTTGTCAAAGGTAAGGTTTCTCACTCGGATGTCTTCCCCTCCCCTCCCCTCCCCTCCCTTCTTTTCCTTCCTCTCCCCTCTCCTCCTCTTCCTTCGACTCCCCTCGCTTCCCTTCTCCTTGTCTCTTCCTGCCTCTCTGACGGCTGCTATCATCATCTTACACACCGCACGTTCAGACGCCTACGAAGCTTGTCAACAGGCACACGCTGTCGTAATCATCACCGAGTGGAAGTGAGAACTCTTGTCCCTTTCCTGTTTACCCCCTTCCCCTCCTCCTCCTCCTCCTCCTCCCTCTCCCCCTCCTGCCCTTCGTCCTTTCTGATATGTCCATCATTTCCACCTTGTTCTTAATTTTGCTCGCTTGTTCCGGCTGAGCATCGCTACTTCAGGCAGTTCAGAGATCTCGACTACCGCCGCATCTTCGACACCATGTGCAAGCCAGCCTTCATCTTTGACGGCCGCAACATCCTCGACCACGACCAGCTGCAGGTATCTCATCCACCCATTTCTCGCCTGCCCCAGCTGACGTTGAGCAGAGTATCGGGTTTCGCATTCAAGGCCTGGGAAAGCCAAAGACGTGGAACTGGCGTTTCTGCTCGAGCAACCAGTGAGCTTGAGTCCAGCTAGTAGGCCTTTCGATCCCATGAAACGTGTTGCCATCAGCCATATTTACCGCGGCACTGCCTCAGTTGCTCCCCGGGCCTCTCACGGCCACGCCCGGCCTCGTGATCCGATGATCGAGTCAGTCCCACCGTTCACGGTCTGCCAGGCTGAAGTCTACCAGGAGTCAGGAAGGCGAGGGCCGAGCGGCCGCCGGACGGCGCCGGATCCCCGCGACACTCGGCGCAGTCCTGCCGGGGCCGGCGGACTCCTCCCGGCCGCAGCCTGAGGCCGGGCTCCGAGGCTGTCGGGGGCCGCCGATTGACTCTGAGTCCTTCCGGGCTGAGTCAGTCCCGGCACTGCCGGGTGTCCCGCCGCGGCACTCAGCAAGTAATTCTGAGGCAGGCTCGAAATAGTGTCGGGCAGTTGAAAATGCGGTTTGCCCTTCTTTTTCAGTCAATAAAAGAGTTGGTTGGCCGCGAAAATGCTGCAAGGGGGGAAGCGAGCGATGGCAAGAGAAGGGGCAGAAGCGACTATGCCTCCTCCTCCTCCTCGTCGTCGTCGTCGTCGCCTCGTCGCCTCGTTCTTCTCATCTCGTATCCTCGTCTCTTCCTCACTGTTGTAGCTCATCCTCAGCGGCTCCATGGACCTCCGTGGCGAGATTACGAGCTTCTTGGCTCGGTTAGAAAGGGAGCATGAGAGCGGCGAGAAGGAGGCGGAACTGATGGAGATCATGCGAACAGATGTGGAGCTGTGCGTGAGAGTGACATGTCAGCTCTTCTGCTCCGAGCTTCTTCACCTCTCCTCCTATCAGAGCAACTTGCTGCTGTCCTGCCTTCGACAGACTGTGGAAGAGGAGGCGAGGGACGACAAGCATGCCTCTTCCTTCCTCCGCTCGCTGCTTTGCCTTCCTCATCTGCGGCAGGGGATGGTTCCGAGGGTCGCGTCAGTCGTGGCGCTCCTGGTGGGTCTGAACGCTTCCGTCTTCCTGCTCTTCAAGGAATACTTCTGTGAGATTTTGCCGAGAAGCGAAGAGAGCGTGAAGATAGCCCTCCTCTCCGTCATGGATGTCTGTGCGGACCGAGTGAAGGGGGATCGTGACCTTCTCCTCCTCCTCTTCCCCCTCCTTGATCATCCTTCCCCGATCATCGTTGGTAGCACCCTCCATCTCCTCGACAACGTGTTCCGGACGGAGGATGAGGTGAGCATCTACTTCCTGAGACGCGCGCTAGTCACTGGAGTGACTTCTCCTCCCAACGTCGATCTCGTCGAGGACCAGGACGTCCACTCCTCTCCCCTCCGTGTCGTTGACGGCAGCGCCCTGTTCCATCTCAAGGAGGTCAGGCAGGAGGAGGAGGAGGAGGAGGAGTCAGCGTGCAGTGTGGCCGAAGAGTTTCTGTTGCAGAGGATTCCTTACCAGTTCCCTCCTATGGTCAAGGCCGCTCTCTTCCTGCTTGACAGCAGCAGCTCGTTGAGTCTTCGCATGGCCAGGAGGGCGCTCCTGCTGTTCGGCCCTGGAGGAGCCTCGCAGAGGGTGGCGGGAAGACTTTTTGCTGCTATGAGAGAAGAAGCCTCCTACCAGTTTGCAATGCGCTCCTTCAAGACCCTCGTGCCATGCAGGACTGGGAGGAAGGAGGAGGAGGAGGAGGATGGACGCAAGGAGTTTTCGAGGACGGCAGGGAGGAGGTTTCTACAGCTTCTGCGATCCTTCTTCCTTCACGGTGAGTTCGACATGCGGGGTTGGGACGGGAGCGTGCGGCTGCAGGAGCTGATGGACCACGTGGAGGAACTGAAGGAGGCAAAGGCACGGCAGGGGAGTATGGAGGTGGATCATCGTTTCCTCCTCGAGAGCTCCCTCCTCGTCCTCGAGAACTCCAGCTGGTCCGCCAGCTCCGAGGAATCTGACGCCCTCGTTCGAGAGCTCCTGCTCTTCCTCCGACATCCCTTTGCCCTGCGCAACGCATGGCTGCGACGCCTCCTGGTTCGAGCTGCAGCTCGGGCAGCAGCTGGCAGAAAGGAAGAGAGGAAGATGAGAGAGATGGAAGAGGGTGAGGAGGAAGAGCAGGGAGAGAGTCTGCAGCTGCTTCTCGAGGTGGTGTGCATGACAAAGAAGAAGCTGTGGAGGACAGCAAGGGGGACGCGCCCTGTTTGCGGCCTTCTCAGGGAGCCGGTGCTGGGAGCAAGTCACTTCCTCGACTACCTGGAGGAGCGCGAGGAGAAGGAGCCGGCAAAGAAGCAGCATGCTGGGTTCGGGTTCGGAGGAAGAGCAGGAGGAGCAGGAGAGATGCCCAAAGGCTTCGGATTCATCAACCCAGCGCGTCAGGGAGGAGGAGGACTCGGAGGAGGAGGGGCAGGAGGGGGAGAAAAAGGAGGGGGAGCGGGAGGAAGTAGTGGTGGATTTGGAGTTGGGAAAGGAGGAGGGGGAGGATGGGGGCGTGAGAGCAATCTCCGGGAGGGCAGCAAGGAACAAAAGCAAGATGGTAAATTCTCAATTTTCATGTTCTCTTCTCGTGTCTGTTCTCCTCTTCCTCCTCCTCCTCTTTCTCATCTCTCCTCTGATCATCTCCCTTCTTCTCTTCTTCTCTTCTCTTCTCTCCTCTCCTCTCCTCTCGTCTTCTCTTCTCTTCTCTCCTCTCCTTTCGTCTTCTCTTCTCTTCTCTTCTCTTCTCTTCTCTTCTCTTCTCTTCTCTTCTCTTCTCTTCTCTTCTCTTCTTCTCTACTCTTCTCTTCTCTTCTCTTCTCTTCTCTTCTCTTCTCTTCTCTTCTCTTCTCTTCTCTTCTCTTCTCTTCTTACATGCTTGTAGCCGTGCAGGTGAACCATAAGAAGGCAGGAGATGAAAAGACATTCCCAAAACCGGTGAAGATCAAAGCTCCCTCCTCCTCCGCCTCCTGCTCCTCCTTCCCACCCCCAAACCCCCCCCTCTTTGCTGCTGCTGCTGCTGCTGCTGCTGCTGCTACTTTTCTCTCCTATTCCTCTTACTCCTACTTCACCCGCTACTCCATTTTTGCGATCATCCTGATGGAGTCAAACGAGCATTCTTTGCTCTCCTCGCCTTCGCTGAGCTTCTCATGCCAGGGCGATCGAGTACGTATGACGTACAGCATGCGACTTGTGGATGGCGGGTGAGATTCTCTCCTGCTCATGCTCGTCCTCCTTCCCCTGCCCCTGCCCCTGCCCCTGCTTGTCCTCATCCTCGTCCTGCTCCTGCTCGTTGGTCTCAAGTTGTTATGCCCAGGAAAGAAATCGACTCGAACGAACAGCGGTCCAAGGAGTTTTCATTTATCTTCGGTGATGGGCAGGTCCTTTCTCTGCGGCGGGGGAAGGGGGAAGGTGAAGGGGTCCGTGGCAGGTCATTGCAGGCTTGGAGGAGGGGTTGTCAAGGATCAGCGTAGGAGGGGAGGCGACGCTGAAGATCTCGCAAGCTCTCGGTGTTTTCTCTGCCCTCGGGCATCATCATGATCACTCGATCCTTCGCACTCCTTCCTCTCCTCCTTGCCCGCTCTCTTTGTCTTCTCCTTCTCACCCTCCTCCGTCCCTCCTTCCTCTTGTCTCCCCCCTCGTCTTCAGCTCCTACCTGATCGTCTTCTCAGCTTATGGAGAGAAGCCCATCGGCTCGCTCATTCCTGCTCGGGCGAATCTTCTCATGGAGGTCAGACTAGCCTCCTCCTCTGCCTTCCCTTGTTCCTCCTCTCCCCACCTTCTCCTCCACAACTCTCCCTTCGTCTTCCCTCCCCATCTTCCCATCATTTTGTTTCTCCTCCTCGTTCTCTACTTTATGACTTCTCCTGCTCGCTGGAACCACTTGATCGCCTTAACCCATCCTCTTCTCTCACCCTCTTCGTCTTTCTCTCTCCTCCTCTTCTGCTGCTGATCGTCCCGATCTTTCATGTCCAGGTCAAAATGATTGCCGTGAATGACAATGACGGAACGGTGGTGAAACACGAAGAGGGGGGAAGGCTGCAGGAGGAGGAGAGGAGGAGGAGGAGCGACAACAATTTATGAGATATGAGATGGAGGAGGACGCGGCTGTGAGGGCAGAGGTGGTGGAGGGATTGAGCTTGACGTTTCAACGTCATCCGCGCTCTCTGATCTCAGTCCTCCCCCTCCTCGTCGAGGGTTTCGACGACGAGAGTCAGATGGTGCAGGAGGCGATCCGACGATGCCTGCGGGTTGTCGCGAGCAGGTCGAGAAGGGTGAAGGCTGCCGTGTACAAGAGCTTGTCGGAGAGGATGAAGGGAGGGCAGGAGGAGGGAAAAGCTGCGGGAGTAGGGAGAAGGCAAATCTCTGCCAGTGCTAGAGCAAGCATGCTCCGTACGTTGATCGATCTTGCCAGAGCAGAGGAGGAGGAGGAGGAGGAGAGGAACGAAGAACTGCTGCAGCAGACCTCTGAGCTGCTTCAGATCTCCTCTGAAGTTGTTCGCAACTTAATGGCGAATGGAGCTGACGAGGAAGTGAAGGTGAGGAAAGGAGAGGGAAGAGGGCCAGCGCCAGGGCGAGAGCGGTAGGGACGAGGATGGGGGGGGGAGAGAGAGAAGGGGAAAGGGAAGGATCCTAACAGGATGTCAGATGCTAGAGGAGGCGATCAAGACTGGCGAGTCCGCACTCTGTTGTCATCTCAGACGAACAGTCAGGGAGGAGGAGCACAGGACGGCTGTGCGGGCGGAGGTCCGGAAGGAGGCTGCCTCCTCCCTCCTCCACCTCCATCAGTCGCTCGCTCACGACAGTCAGCGAGTCTTCTCCGTCCCCCATGCGCTCTCCTGCCTGCCCTACAGCGAGCTGACGTCCTTGCCGCTCGGAGACCTCCCTACTCTTCCTGCTCCTGCTCCTGCTCCTGCTCCCCTCTCGCAGCAGATTCGAAGAGCATACGAGGCGACGGGCTGCCTGTCGGAGAGGGAGGGGCAGGTGGAGGGATGGATCGACAGATACGCGAGGAGACGAGGAGCGTCGCACCTTCATCGCAGAGAGCGCGAGACTTTCATGCGAGCATGCAGGAGCCTCTTCATGCAGCAGAGACACTCGCAGCTGGAGCAGCTTGTGCTTGCAAGGCTGGAAGAAGTAAGGAAGGAGGAGGGAAGGAGGAGGGAAGGAGGAGGGGAGATGAGTCAGGAGGTATGCTTTCTTGCTCTCACCAGGCTTGCAGACCTCCGAGCTTTTGCCTTGGATGGAGAAAAAGGAGGAAGAGGAGGATACTACCTTCTCCATAAGGGTCGACCACCTGGACTCTCTCTCCCTCCCAGGCCTGGCTGACGTCTTGCCCGAGGGCGAGGGTGGTGAGCGTCTCTTGCAGCAAGCACTTCAGGTCCTCTCTTACCCTCCCCCTCCTCCCCCTCCTCGCCATTCCCTCCCCTCCTTCCCCTCCTCCCCCAGCCTCATCTTCTCGATCAGCCTCACTTCCTATCAGGCGTCTTTCCATCCACGAGCGCACGTCAGACTCTCTGTACTTCCCGTGCTCTACCGGTGAGAGGAAAATCCCAACAAGCTTGCGCTTATCCTCCTCCTCCTCCCTCCTCTTCACCTTCCCTCCTTCTCCTCCTCTTCCTTCTTTTCTTCCTCCCTCCTCCTCCTCCTCCTCCTCCTCCTCCATCACCAATTTCCGTCTCTCTCCTCGTTTTCATCCCCTGCCGCATTCTCAAGAGATACGCAGAATCGCGAAAGAGGAGTGGAGCAGGATGCCTTCCTCTCAGCTCCTTCCAGCTGTCCAAAGGTGACTCTGCTTCCTCCTCCTCCTCCTCCCCCTCCCCCTCCCCCTCCCCCTCCCCCTCCCCCTCCCCCTCCCCCTCCCCTTCTTCGCTTCATGTGCATCATCTTGCAACTCCTCTTTCCTCTCTCCCTTTATCGAGCTCGTCTGACGGTCGTCCAGCGCTCGTCTGCTGCGCAGGGACCTGGTGGGCAGGAGCAAGGAGGTCATCGGGTGGGAGCATGAGGAGCGAGCGACGAGGGCTCTTGCTGCTCTCCTGCGCTTGTCCTGTGACGCGAGCTCCCTTGTATCCCGCGACTCGATGGCGCTGGTGGCCCTCCTGGCACAAGAGGTCTCCCCTCAACCCGATCGTCTCCTTTCAGAGCCTCTGGGCCGTTGCTACCCGCCAGCATGGAACCAGGCATCGTCTTCTCCCTCCTCTCCTCCCTCCTCATGCTGACTCCCTTCGTCACCGCAGGTTCTCGTGGAGCTGAAAGAGAAGCAGGCAGGAGAAGAGCAGCAGGAGCTTATCTACCCCATGTACGTCGACTCGTCCCTTCCGTACGATTTTGCGGGGAGAGAAAGGATGGAGAGCTACACGATGAAGATGCGACAAGGAAGGAGGAAGGAGCCTGAGGGATGGAACGTCTGCCAGGTGATGGTCAGGCTTGCAATAGGTTCCAAGGTGCTGACCCTCCTGCCAGCATCGCCTGGGTTATTCGGTCCGGTGACAGGAGTCCCAAATTGTATCTTCCTGAGCTTGAGCTCAAGGAGAATGTGAGTGCAAGGGGGGATGATGTAGATAACTTCTTGTAGTCTTTACTCCTTCCCTTACTCCTCCTCCTCCTCCTCCTCCTCCTCCTCCTCCTCCCCCTCCATCCCCTTTCCCGTATGCCCCCTTCCCTGCCCCCTCCCCTCTTTATCTTGTCCTCTACCTGCTTAAAAACTATTATATATATATAAGTTATTTTTGCTGGTACCAATCTTTAAAAGTATATTAAAACAGGCGGACCCTAAAACTCTCGGCGCCCTCTTCCTCTCCCCGTCGTGCCTCCTGCCGCCCAAGTTCCTCCTCCTCCTCCT